AGGACATAAACACTGATGCAGGCGTAGACAAACATTAACCCTTAATATTTCTCAACCTACGGGAACATATACCCTTAATATTCTTTTAATATTTCTCAACATTTACCCTTAATATTCCCTTAATATTTCTCAACCTACGGTAATATTACTACGGGAACATTACCACGGGAATATCACTACGGGAACATTACTAAGGGAACGTTACTAAGGGAACATTACTAAGGGAACGTTACTAAGGGAACGTTACTACGGTAACATTAACCCTTAATATTTATCGATCTACAAGAACATTAATCCTATGATTCAATTCCCTTCATGAAATCGATCATACCCACGGTTATAGAACTGAACCCCACCCTTACCTTAGAATAGAGGTCAATTCCAAGCTTCCGATTCTGGTTCTGCTCTCCGGCGACTTTTCTGCAACAACCTTCAATTCTCTCCGGCGGTTAATTCTTCTGTTCTTCCTTTCTCCACAGCCACGTCCTTTTTCCTCTTTTCTCAGCCTTTTTCCTCCAATTTTGGTTTTCTGAGCAGTTTATCGTTCTTTTGCTCTTTCTCCCACAACTTCTCTAATAACTCCCTAATTCCCTTTATTCCATCTACTACTAATAATAATAGTAATAATAACAATAATAATAATAGTAATAATAATAATAATATAATATAATATTACTACTAGTTATTAAATTATCATCATTATTAATTACATTATATTATTATCAAACTCAATAATTTATTAAATTATTTTCTATACTTTAAGGACACCCACCAACGCTCTCAGACACACTCCCACATAAAGGCACACCAACAATTCATAAATCATTTAATTAAAATGAACGGGCGTTACACGGGGGAGAGAAAGAGAGTTTTTTGAGTGACAAGCGAGACACGTGAGGCTTTTCATGTTTTTATTTTTTTTTCTTCATCACAACCGTCTTAGTCACGTGGCCATGCTTTAGGCCATCTGATTTGCTTACCAAGCTGTTTTGACCTGGGGCCCCATGAGGGGACCCCTACCACTATTACCACACACTCTTAGTCAGAACCTTTGGATCTATTTTGATTTCATCTAGTGGCTGAGGTTGAGTCAATGCTTTGACTCCCTTTATCCTTTGAATGGGTCAGCTACCTTTCAATTGGGCCTGTGCATTAGGGCCTTTTGCTTTAGCACCCCCTTCATTTCCAATTTGCATTTTTTTATTGTCTTTTTTTCTTATAATGGGCCTTTGGCCCATTTAGCATTTTTTATTGCTTCCCTCATCTCTCCCATATTGTTTTCTGCACCCCCATTTCCCATTTTTAAAATTTATTTTTATTTTATTATTTTGGCTAATAAAAGTTACATTTTTATAATGTATACCCATTTTCGCCCTACAAGTTTCTTTCCTTTTAGTAGAGAAACTAATTCTCAAGTATTATTCTTATTTAGTGTCTCCATTTTCAAACCAATAACTTATTTTCATTTCTATTCAAAATATGCCTCAGATAGAGAGGTAGGTATTGTATAATGTTCATTTTGTTATGAAGGCTTTATGGGTATGTGAAATGTGTTCAAAACTTAAGTAGTTGGGTAGAGGGTAAAATGGCTTTTTGGTAAAGTTTTTGATATATTTCCTAAGGGAAATTGGTATATTTAAATCTTTATAATGTAATGGTAGTGGTGGTGGAGTTGAGTTGGAATTTGGATCATGCTCATGTGAAAATTCAGAAATTGAATCACTAAGGACTGATGAAATCTACCTCATGTAACGTCAGATCGAACTCTTGGATATGAGTAGATTCATGAATGGTCTTTCTTTCTTGTATATACTAAATTATTTCTACATCTTACATCACTTTCAAAATTTTCATATTTTTCAGAATCTAGTTTAGTTCCAACATTGTCATTACTAGTTTGAACCTCAACTTTTGGTTCAAGAGTAAGGTCATGAAGTAGGAGAGACTCGTCTTTCTTATTTATATTCCCACTAAAGTTGAGATTCAATGAAATAACTTTTTTGTGTATGGAAAGTGACCTCTCTAGAACCAAGCACTTGGGCTCGAGTGGTAAACGAGCTCCTCCTAAGGAACGAAGGTTTGGAGAATACCGAGTTCGATTCCTGGTGGGAACAATGCTACACCAGGCTTATGACCTCTCAGACCGAACTCTAGATTACTAAGGCTCCTTTTCCCTAGTAACTTGAGTGCAATCATCAATAAAATTTACGAACCAACAAGCACCTAAAATATTTGGAATATTAGATGGACTCCAAATTCGGGTTTGAATGAGTTAATTTGAATTGTTTCTTGACCTGCTACATCTGTAGTGGATTTTTTTTTGTTAATATGGCAAGACGAATAAGTGGTGAAGTGAGTGGGTAAGGGTGTCATGTGATCAGTGGCTCTAGAATTCAGTATCCAACATTGTCTAAATGGTATATATGAAGCATTAAGTCCAATTGAAAAATTGAGATTTTCCATAAGAAAATGAAAATAGAATTATACCTAAATGTGTTAAAGAATAAGTACTTGTTGGTTTCTCCAACTTAATGAGGAGATGTCTCACATTTTCTACTTCACTTAGATTAAGTGCACCATTTGTTTAGATTGTCTCCATTCGTAATTCCAACTATGTGTGCATGTCCTTTCTTTCATGATAAGTATAAGAGAACCTTCTCTTTGGTATAAGAGAACCTTCTCTTTGTTGGTCTTAATTGATTCTGAAGGAAAAAATAATTGTTGTTGAGAAAATTCGGGTTTGAATCTTATCCAAATAGTGAAGATCATTTAAATCTCTAGCACTTCCAATCGTCCTCCTCATTCTTGTCCTAAAAAACACAAGAGTTATTAAAGAAAATAACATTACATGATAAGTCTTTTGTGAGTTTTTGTATGGAAATTAGGCTATTAGACAATTTGGGAATATGAAGGACGTCGTAATGGGTCATGGATGAGTTAATTTGAATTGTTTCTTGACCTGCTACATCTGTAGTGGGTTTTTTTTTTGTTAATATGGCAAGACGAATAAGTGGTGAAGTGAGTGGGTAAGGGTGTCATGTGATCAGTGGCTCTAGAATTCAGTATCCAACATTGTCTAAATGGTATATATGAAGCATTAAGTCCAATTGAAAAATTGAGATTTTCCATAAGAAAATGAAAATAGAATTATACCTAAATGTGTTAAAGAATAAGTACTTGTTGGTTTCTCCAACTTAATGTCTCACATTTTCTACTTCACTTAGATTAAGTGCACCATTTGTTTAGATTGTCTCCATTCGTAATTCCAACTATGTGTGCATGTCCTTTCTTTCATGATAAGTATTCCTTAACGCCAACAATTGGCGGTCGGAGAGTGACAATGCATGAAGGATCTTTTGATGGCAGTGCTAGAATTTAAAAAATGGTAAAACAACCAGAGTTTTAAAAAAAAGAACCGCAACTAAGACGGACTAGAATTTTAAAAAATGAATCGCAATTAAGGAAACTAGAATGTGTTAAACAATAGTGTAACCCTTTCTAATGAAAGCTTTAATACCATATTAAGTCTAAGTATTATTTGTTTAAAAAAATGGTAAAACAACCAAAGTTTTAAAAATAGGAACCGCAATTAAAACGGACTAAAATTTTAAAAAATGAATTGCAATTAAAGAAACTAGAGTGTATTAAACAATAGTGTAACCCTTTCTAATGAAAGCTCTAATACCATATTAAGTCCGAGTATTATTTGTAATTCTAGTATATTGGCACCAAACTCATTAAATAGAATATTATGATATAATGAATCTAACTAAAAGACTCAAACATAAAATATTAATAATACTAAGTTAACTATTTATAACAACCTCCAATAGTATCAAAGTTATTTTAAACTGTATTTTACACAATTTGTATTATACACATTTTGTTTTAAGAGATTAATGTTTTAAGATATTAATGTTTTAAGATATAAAATGATATGATTGTCAGTGAAAATTTTTTTATTCAATTAGTGCATCAAATCATAGATATTATATTATAGATAATCAAAATAAAAATTAAATATTAATAAGAATTTAAGAGATTAATTGATATGCGCGGACATTATAAAATAATTTTATAGTGTCATGTTATTCAATAGAAATATATCAATCTGCTATATTATATTATTAATTTAAAAAATTTAAAATTTTTTTTGTTTTAATTATAAAAAAAACATTAATATTGATATGATATCTTACTATAACATTAATAATGATTATATATTTTATTTAAATTATTACTTATATAATTTTCATGTTACTTTGTCGGAAATTTATACAATGAAAATAAAAATTTGATTTTTAAAGAAATTCACTATATATCCTCTTTAGAGATGTTCTTTAAAGCTAGAAAAGTTAAATAAAGAAATTCACTATGTATCCTCTTTAGAGATGTTTTTTAAAGCTAGAAAAGTTAAATACTAACAAAGTTCTTTTAGTACTAATTTCTAAAGTTAAAAAAAGTAAAAAAAAAATTAAAAAAAAAAAAAACATTCAAATTTATTAATAATTTGAACATTGTATAAAATTATTATTTTTTTATTGGGTTTAATAAATATGCACAGACAATCATCTAATAGAAAATAACAATCTGCTAAAAAAAATTATAAAATAGAAACATGAGGTGACATATCATCCATTTTCTCTTTTGATTAACATTAGAATCTAGATTTTTAACTAGTTTTTTGAAAAAGAACTCTTAAATTTGAGAAGTTCTAGTATTGTTTGAACGTCTATGGTAGATGATAAAGCTCAGGAACCGAAAAGAGTGCCCAGAAAGAATATAGCATAATCATTCAGAGAAAGAAAACCGTAATTGTATCAATGATTGAACTCTACAATAATCGAGATTTCAATTTGTCCATATAAAACTCATTCAGATTATGTATGTCTTATACAAAAGATGATCATTATGTCTTTATAACAATTAAAGAACAAAAGAATGCATAAAAGAAACTTGAATTGAATAAACCCTTTCCCAAATTGTAACAATCTATAACCCTAAGCACGTTCACCACGGATACGGCGAGCAAGTTGAATATCCTTTGGCATAATGGTGACTCTCTTAGCATGAATCGCACACAAATTGGTGTCCTCAAACAAACCCACAAGATAAGCTTCTGCTGCTTCCTGAAGTGCGAGAACCGCATGGCTCTGGAATCTCAAATCGGTCTTGAAATCTTGAGCAATCTCACGGACAAGACGCTGGAATGGCAGTTTTCGGATCAAAAGTTCAGTGCTCTTCTGGTATTTACGAATCTCGCGAAGAGCGACGGTTCCAGGGCGATAACGATGAGGCTTCTTGACTCCACCGGTGGTAGGTGCAGATTTCCTAGCAGCCTTGGTGGCGAGTTGCTTCCTTGGAGCCTTGCCGCCGGTGGATTTGCGAGCGGTTTGCTTTGTACGAGCCATTGTTGAGTTGGGATAACAATAGCGAAAGAAGATAGAAATTGCAAAGAGAATAATTAGGTTTTGCAACAATCAAACTTTGATGAGATTTGGGAATGGAAGGAAGCCTTTTATATAAGATGATTAAGTCGGTTTAGTTGGAGATTAGAGAGATTTTTTAGTTAAGGAATATTAATCACGATCCGTGTGCTTATTTCTTATTGGTTGTTATGTCAATAAACCGATATTGTTATAACCAACCAGACAAAAAGTTTTAATTTTAACCATCCCATTTAAAACTAACAGTAGAAATCCATAACGATGCGACATTATTAATTTGCAAACTGTGGAGTAGATTGAATGGAAATGCCAAATCAGAGTTCATAATTGTGTGTATACTTTTATCATAATGATTTTTATCGAATGATTCTAATCCTAAGTTAAATTCTTGTTTAAGTCATGAGTTTGTAATAGTACAAATTGTACATTTTTAGTGTATGTAAAAATCATAAGTAATAGTATTAAGAGTTTATACAAATTAAAAGATATTGTATAAAAATATGTCTTACTAATCATACAATAAAAAGTAAATTACTTAGAATCAAATCTTCTCCTTATCACAAAGAGAATATACTTTGAATTTTTAAAATTTACAAAAACTAGAATTGCATTGTCTCATTTACCCATTTCACCAAAATATTATTATGCTACATTATGGATAAAATAATAATTAACAAATGGCATAATTAAAACACTCTTAAACTTTTCTTCAGATGACACGTGTCACACATCTATTATCAAATTTGCATTTTAAATTTTATTTTCTCATAGTCTCTCTCTCTTTCTCTCTCCCACCTGTTTTCTCTCATCTCTCTTTCTCTCTCCTCACCAATTTTGTACTTTCGCCACAAAAATCTCTTTCTCTCTTTCTTTCAACAGTGCACCTTATTTTCTTCATCCCTTCTTTTTTCTTCTATCTCTTTCTCTCCAACATCACTCACCATCAACACACACGAGATCTATGTTGAGATTTGCTCCTCATTCCTTCAAACAACACAAGCTTCAATCATTCCCAGGTTTTAACTTTTATGATTTGTATCTCAGTTTGCATTTTAAGATTTTCCGAACAAAGACACCTAAGCATGACAGATTTAAGGTTTGTTGTTGTTTATTCTATGTTGTTGTTTGTAAATTTTGAACTGGTTTGGATCGAACACAAAACCCTCTTGAATTTCCCCGTTAATCAAACACAAAACCCTAAAAGTTAAGTTTTTTACCCTTTCTCTATGTGGGTTTGTATGATTTTGTGTAGTTTGCAGCAATGGGTCGAGTACTGTGCGACATCGAAGAAACACACTTGTCATGTTTGCAAGCAATGTTGCAAGGCGAAAGATGCGTGTCAAATTTATTTTCAATCAGATGGAAATGCGAACGAAGGTGTTCTTACTCAGAGGTAGTTTTTCTTCATCTCTCTCACACAATTGATTCTTGTGTTGTTGGAATTTTTCTATTTTTTTCACATCTATGGTTAATTGATCATATTTACAATGATTGTTATTTGTTTTGTGTAGAACTGTTGTACAAGGATTATCACAGTGATAAGAAATTTATTGTCAACACATATCACTATGATATGTATAGATTTATTGTACAAGGTTTTTGTTTGTTTTCTATAGATATGTTGATTTAAAGTTTTGTTTGATTTTGTACTAATTTTCATTTATTATGTTTGAATGTTATAACACCGAAACACACTGCATATTTCATTCGACTCGCACATGTTTTATTATCGTTTTGCTTTCATTTCTAGTATTATTCTAGTATTTTGTCTGTATTTCAGGCACATAACCAAGTGAGAGTTGTACACAAAGAAACGAAGTGAATCAGATGAAAAATAGAGAAAAATAAGTTGTTTCCACACACGACATCCAACATGGCATTTGCCATAGAGGTAGCCATGAGGTGGATGATGTGTCCCATGACCCAACCGTCACAAAGATCAAGTCTCCGCATTTTGCGAAGGTGGTGTTCACCACAAGGGGGATGGCGATCACCATTCCATATAAAAACGTGGCAGTCAAAACAGTTGAAGAATTGACTCCTCACTACTCCCTTTTTTCTCTCGCACGAAGCTAACAGTTGTGACTTGATTTCCAAGACTTTGTAGCACTATAAATAGGGATTAAAATCATATTTTGAAGGCATCCAAGCTTAGCTACAACTTAGGCCATAAATTTATATTCTTAAAGCTCTAATTCTTCACATCAGAGAGTTATTGCATCGTTGTTGTAATTGAGTTTGGAGCACTTTATTTGTAGAAGTTAACCTTGCCAACATTTTCAATTTTGTTCAAGTTATTTCCGTCAATTTACTTTGTACCAGATTCAAGTCTCTGATTGGAGCAGGTTCTAAATAATTTCAGTATTATTTACATTTTATTTGTCTTGTTTATTTACTTCGCCTTACTTTATTTATTTCCTTGCCTTGCTTTATTTTCGTGCCTTACTTAATTTATTTTCATTGTGTGTTCTTTACTTTAATTGAATCGCTTAATATGTTTAATTTTGTATTTCAAACAAAAGCTAAAATGTTCACCATGAATATGTCCAGCTAATTTGTTAGTGCTGGAATGTGAGGACCATCAATTCGACGGTACTCTGTTTGTTGTTTCTTTAGGATTAATATTGGGGTTGTTTTGATTTTAATTCAATTTTTCCGAAATTAATTTGATCGCTTAGTACGAAAGTAGAGTCATGACACGTCGGGTAACACTGAAGTCGTCCGACATCTAAGATTAAAATTGGTTAGTTTTTGGTTAATAAACACAGTGAAAGCACTTTATTAATTAATTAGAAAAGATCAATATTTCTAGAAGGTGATTTTAAAACTATTTTTAAACGCATTTATAAGTTTAGAATCTGGTTACCTGAGTGAAAGCCAACAACCATTTTAAGTTAAAATTTCCAATCAAAACCATTTTTCAATTGAGAAAAAACATCTAGTTACTAAAAAAGGATTTGCTACCACAGCCGAGCACGTGAGAGCGGACGGTAAAGAATAGAGAGTAAAATTCAGTATTGAATACGCGAAAGCGACAATTCCTTTTTAATTTAATCTTTTCCAAACATATTTGAATTTGTTAAAAGTTTATTATTTTGTTCCTATTTCCAAAACCTTTTTACGATCGCCTTAGATAAACACCATAGTAATAGAAGATAATATATTGACCATTAGGTCTCTGTGCAATTCGATAACCTTTTATATTACTCTGATACACTCCATATACTTGTGAAAAGCACGCATCAAGTTTTCGGTGCCGTTGCCGGAGACCAATTACGTCAAATATTGTACCTTATTTTTACACTGTCTAGACTAAGGAACCCTTTGTCGGTCAATGCAAAGAACTCGTAGTATCGGAACTTTAGAAGATCTGATAGCTGAACCAGAAAGATACACGTGCACGCCTTTTGCTCCAAAGAATTAGAAGAGCAATAGCAGAAGAACAAGATCGCAAACCACTTAAGGAGTTTGCCTTACCTTCTAATGAAGAACCCCATTTGAGTATTGTTAACCTTACAATCCCAGCTAATAACTTTAAACTAAAACTCGCTTTGTTGCAAATCGTGCAACAAAACCAATTTGCTGGTCTCCCAATAGAGAACCTGAACCAACAATTAAAGGTGTGCATTCAACTAGCCGAAACATTGAAAACCAATAGTGCTTCTTCTGAGGCAATATGTCTATGATTATTCCCTTTTTCCTTTAAAGACAGAGCAAGATCATGGATAGATTCCCTCCCAGCAAATTCAATCACTACTTGGAATGACTTGAAGAAAGTATTATTTGCTAGATACTTTCCATCGAGCAAGATTGTTGTCTTGCGAAACCAAATAACCAGACTTAATCAACAAGATAGAGAATATCTTTTCAACGCTTGGGAAAGGTATAAAGAACTACTAAGAGCATATCCACACCACGGTCTAGAACAATGTTTGATCATTCATACCTTCAATAATGGACTTCTCTATAATATAAAGATGACCATCGACGATGTCGTCGATACTGCACTGATGAACAAACCATATCTTAAAGCATGTGCACTCATTGAAGATATGGCTCAAAACCATTACCAATGGGGGACAGAACGAGCTTCAGTAGAGAAGAAAGAAAAGAAAGGAGTTATATACAAAGTAAGTTGTCTAGAACATATTAAAGCTAAGATGGACGCCCTAGATAAAAAAGTCTAAAGTTTGGTCGCTAACCCTACAGTTATTGTAGCTGCAATGCAACTCAGATGCAAAATCTATGGAACCCAAGGACATATCATTGTTGAATGTAGTCTTCTAGCCGAACCAAACCCAGATCAAGTCAACTATGCCCAAGGAAACCCTTATTCAAACACATATAACCCTGGATGGAGAAATTATCCAAACTTCTCTTATAAGAATAATAACCCTATTGAGAACACTGCACCTCAGAGACTACCAGGTTCCCAAGCTTAAAGATCGACACAGTCAATTTAAGCTTCTCCTCAGAAATTGAGCCTAGAAAAGATAATGGAGAGCTTCATGTCAGCTCAAACTCAGCAAAATAAAGAATTCATGAACCAGAACATTCATCTGAATGAGTTGATTACACAATTAGGCACCAATGTCAATTTTATGGTAACATACAACAAGATGTTGGAAACCAAAATCTCGCAAGTAGCACAACAAGCTTCTCAAGCTATGCCAAGACGATCATTCCCTAGACAACCTCAACCTAACCCTTAGGCCCATGCTAATACTATTTCCCTACAAAGTGGAACTACATATAATAAACCAATAGATCCTAGTTTGAATAACAACTTGCTAAGAAAATTGGAACCCCCAAAAGGAAACATTGTGATTACACCCGAAAACCGAGTAGTGGAACCAGAGAACCAGAGAGAAGGAGAAATTAAAAATAAGGAAGTAGAGAATGATAACCAAGTTTAGGTACCACCCTCTCCTTATGAACCACCAATTTCATATCTGCAAAGACTT